TAAAAATCCAATTAGCTACTAGTATTTGTAATCCCTTGTGTATTATACCTATATATTAACTCAAAAATTTGAAACTTTAAATGTTTATATCTAATAAACAAATTAAGTTTTATTAAAAATTCAAATGCCATTTATTATTGAATTAAAAACTCAAACATTTTATTAAATTAAAAATATGTGTTACCATTTAAAAAAACAAAGTTGACACCCTTACCAGACATAAAGGATGAACATAAAAAGTATTACATAGTTAATAATTCAAGAATAATGTGTAACTAAAAATAATAATAAAAAAAATGTTTAAATTATTATTATTCTGTAAGTAATTGAGTGGGTTATGATAAAAAAATCACCTGTATAATACACAAGAGATTACAAATACAGGTAGCTAATTGGTTTTTTATGACATCGATATTAGCAGGTACATAGCATTGTTATTATCAATGGTAGTAAGGTACATTGTTATAAGTTTATAAATACACTAACTGACAATACAAAAAGTATATCTATTGATAGTCATAGTTGATAATAAACAATCTGTGACTGTGACAGCAATGTCATAAAAAACCAATTAGCTACCTATATTTGTAATCTCTTGTGTATTATACCTGTAACTTTTTCAGTATTCAAGAATATTTTGATGGCTACAACTTTGAATATTTATATAATTGATAAATAATATTTTGTGTAAATATTAAATATATAAATTAATAAATTCCCTTAATTATTGATTATACAGGGTGGCCTACCACTCACTGACAACTTAAATAACTTTTGATCCAGTTAATATTTTTAGTTGATTTTTTTTTTAAATATTAGTTAGACGTTAGGTCTATAGCTATATCTCAATAATTAATTATTTTACATTTTATTAAAAATATTAATTATTTTTAAATTTTAAATAAAATGTAAAAAAAAAATCTAAGATAGCTATTTTGTAGAGTAGAATTTAAGAAAAATTTTAGTAAAAAAATATTTTATTAATATTCAGTAGTAAATATTCTGTAGCGTTTTGAAGTTTGTAAAAATTTGAATTTTCATGTACTATTTTACGGTTATAAACATTGAAATACGTATTGAGAAAAGGACAGAAGAAAACGCTATCTTTTCATGATTACTGTGTATACATATGATGATAGTGTGTATACATTACAAACTTGGCATAAATACCATGATAAGAAATTAGATAAGGCAATTATTACTTATCACTCTCATTCAAAAGTATATTGAAAAGATAGCGTTTTCTTCTGTCCTTTTCTCAATACGTATTTCAATGTTTAATACCGTAAAATAGTACATGAAAATTCAAATTTTCACAAACTTCAAAACGCTACAGAATATTTACTACTGAATATTAATAAGATATTTTTTTACTAAAATTTTTCTTAAATTCTACTCTACAAAATAGCTATCTTAGATTTTTTTTTTACATTTTATTTAAAATTTAAAAATAATTAATATTTTTAATAAAATGTAAAAAAATTAATTATTGAGATATAGCTATAGACCTAACGTCTAACTAATATTTAAAAAAAAAATCAACTAAAAATATTAACTGGATCAAAAGTTATTTAAGTTGTCAGTGAGTGGTGGGCCACCCTGTATACATAAAAAAAAATATAAAATATATTTTTATTTTATTTAAAAAGTAAAATTCTCTTTTTTTACATTAACAATATTTCGCTAGTCAAAAGTTTCAATTTTTCTTATTTATTATAAAGCAAGTGACATAAAAGAAAAAAATAAATTATAATTTGTAGAATATCACTTTCAACACTTACAATCGTTTTTTGTTGAAAAGGAAAATGTTTTTATTAATTATTATTCTAGCTTCTTGTAAGAAATATAGTGAAACGATGAAACAATACTTCAATTATATCTTAGTATAATATTTTTAGCTTTGATGCAATGCTGAAAAGGTATTAATTTTACTATGATGTTATTTTTTTTTGTGTGTCTGTTACCACTCAATCTTAGCTCCTACTAGACCGATTTTTATCAACAATATGTCAAAAGATCACAAATCGTATCTGGTCAAAGACATTACCCTCAATAGTTGAAAAAAATTACCTCATTCCCCGTAAATGGGGGAAATCCCTCAAAAAATTACAATTTTATAAATCGGTAATTTTCGACATTTTTTCAATTTTTTTTTCTTAAAACTACCATAACTTTTTTAAAAATGAACACATTAATATAATTTTTTTTTTTTATAAATACCTTAGGTATTTCACTATCATTTGATATATTTTTGTGCACATTTGACCCTTTACCTGCCCATAGGGAGGGTTTCAATATGGCAACTTTTTCATAAAAAATTAACTTTTGAATATGTTCTGAAAATACTGACACTTTTATATATATCTTAAATTAAAGCTTATGTAATATACTTTAATATGAAAAAAAAAAAATTTACCTCTAGATTTGTCTTCATGGTGAAAATGACTACCATATGATATTTTTGTGTTAAAATTCTTGATTTTATATTTTACATTTTTAACTTTATATCTCTATAACTTTTTTATAAAAGTATGGATCAATACAATTTTTACATAATAAATACTTCTTCTATTCGACATACTTTTTTTATAAATCATTACATTATATATTTAATTGTTATAATAAATATTTATTCATATATTATACTTATAAATCATAAAATTTGTAATCAGAATATAAATAAAAAAAATAGGAGATCATGTTGCTTTTGGAATAATCCACCAATTTTTTTTAATTAAACACCATCTACAGATTTGCATCTAAGCGTTTTTTAGGATAGTGATTTTAATCACTGTCAGATAAATTTTATATTTGTCCCAACTTTGCCACAGTCCAATTGCTCCTCGACCCCACTATACTACTGTTTTTATATTTGATGTTCAATTGTTAATTTGTACAATATCTATAAAAATTCTCTATTTTTTGTCCATTCGTTAACAAAAAAAATTTTATCATTTAAAAGTGTATGATATGATATAATTTTTATTACTTATAAAATAACTGGTAGTTTCGTCATATTATGAGGAGAGAGGAATCCGAAGCTGTAAGAACAGTTATAGAAATTAATGTTGAAGGAAGAGACGTAAAGGAAGACCAAAAAAGAGATGGAGGGATGTAATAAGGACGGGTGGTGTGACCGTAGATGATGTGGGTGATCATGTCAATGTCAAATGAAGTTTAGAATAAGGGTGGCCGACTCCAAGTAGTTGGGATTAAGGCAAGGAAAAAGAAGAAGAATACTTATAAAATAATTATTCATGTTAATATACAATGTATAATTATAATTATATTTATAAAATAAAAAATTATATTTATTGTTTTTTTATAATTTTAATTTATATATATTTTTTTTCGTGTATCTATCTATCTATCTTAGCTCATTCATATTTTTTCATATTATTATTAATGAATTGAAACTTCAATTTACACAAAATCTTATACATTTCATACTTTTTTCATAGATTGTTAATAATTATAATCAACTTATGGATCATAAAATTCAATATTGCCAAGATAAGTATCATATTTTAATAAATAACACTTTTAAATAATAATAAGCTTATATATTAAATGTGAACAATATTTTATGTCATTATATTGAAAATCAATTAATTTTTTCAAAGTAACTACCATTACAGTATTGTGAACATTTTTTACTTTAACAATGGTAATAAACAATAAACACTAAAAAATATAATAATGCAATACAATATCATCGCAGTCAGTGTTTTCGTACTATGAATATTTAATGTAAAAATTTATTGGACTAAAAGTTTATTGTTCAAATAATTTTTTTTAATACTATTTATTTGATCACTTTGTTCCAACTTTTTTAAATATATTTCTTTACTTTTAGAGCACTAAATGTTTTTATATATAAATACTAATGCTTATAAAATTATTTGTTTGCCATTTGGCGAGTAAAATTGAGAAAATGTGGACTAGTTTAAAAAGTTACTTTTATTATTAAAAATTAATTTAATAATATATTTAAGATTTAGATATTAAGATTACTTTAAAATATGAATGCTTCACATTTTTATATCTAGGCTCCCTCGACTAGATATAAAAATTGCAGCCAATAAATGTCTAATGATAAAAATAGCATCATCCGCGCTATTAAAAAAGCAAATAATTTCCAAAATACTAAACTGAAAACTCGTTACTGACCAACCATTTGATTAATTAAATCACAAGAATCACTCCATTTAAATTTTCTACTAAAATACATTAATCATTCCAGCGACCAGATTATTAAACCATTTTAATAACTTTTATTTAATCTATGAAGTTTTCATGTTATACCAATATTACCTATAATCATTAATCACACAGAGCATTTTTTTAAATCACAGTGTTGAGTAAAGTTAATGTTCTTTTATTATTTTCACGAAAAATTGACAGTAATTTATTATACATTACACTATATTTATCTTATCTTACTTATAAAACACATGACTTAATATTATAGTAATTATATTAGTTATAATTATTATTTGATTACTAAAATTATTGTAATAATCTATTTGATTATTACAATTTATTTAATTATCAAGTTAGGGAAACTTACCACCCTTTAAATTTAACTATATTTTTGGATTCAAAAGGTATTTTAAGCTATTATCTAAAATTCTATGTAAATTCAAAAATAATTTGATAGTTTGTTTTTGTACAGACACCTAAATAAATCAAATGAAAATTATAATTTAAATTCTTAACCATTACCGATATTTGAAATTAAAGTTTTTACTGAAAAACTAATCTCATAATTTATGATAGTAATTATATAAAACTTAGAAAGGAAATACATTATTCCTCTTTACAGCTTATTAATTAAGCAAAAGTTCCGTGAATAACTTTGTAGTTTATTTTAAGCATATTACTTTGAAGTAACAAAAAATGTTGTATCATCTCCTAAGTTTTTATCTCAACTATTTGAGGCCTCTACCTTACCATGATTTAACAGGATATTTTGATTAACTTATTATAGTTTTACTTACCCCATCCAATAAACATGTATACACGAAGTTTAATATTTTCACGGGTGAAAGTTTCCACAACCAAAATGTACAAGTATAAACCTTTAATGAAAATGAACCATTGTTTTACTTTTAAGCACTATTAGTATTAATCATTATTGTTATAACAACAATAAACATATTGTAATTGTTGTTGTTTTATTCTCACCTTCAACAAACATCCAGAAAAAATTAGTTAAAAAAAAATAATTTAAACAAAAAGCCATTGTTACACACACTTCATAGTTTGAGTAAACACGATTCTGAAATATAAAAAAAAAATCGACTTACAGTAATAATTAAAAATGATTATAATAGTGATAGATTTAAAATTGACTACTAGATTTTTTTTTTAAATATAACAGTTTAGAAAAAAATATCGGCTTTATTGAGTAGTAATTTTTTCTCGATTTTTAATTGGTTAAATATTTTTTATGCTTATCCCTTAGTAGTAATGAGTAGGAATCGAGACTATGCATTTATTAAATTTGTTTAGACCACTTTCGAGACACCGGACTTCATAAAAATTTATCATATGTATACAGAGTGGTCTTGTATATTTTGACAAATAGTTATTAAATCATAAAGTTAGATTCAGTAACTATTTTATAGTTAATTTCTAGAACATTTTAAAATTTTGCGAAAATTTGAATTTTTATGTTTATTAAACTCTATCAAAATCTATCAAACTTTGATAAGAAAAAGGATTATTAAAAAAAGGATACAAAAAAACGTAATATATTTATACTAAATATTGTTTGTAAACAACATAAAAATTATCCTCGATTGAACAAGGACATGATTGGTATGAAAGACGCATAAAGTAATATTATTATTAGTAATAAGATTTCTATTGTATTTATTATAATTCACTTTCCCCAGACATCCCCTAGGGATAAGGGCAGATGTAAAAAATATTCAATCACTTATAAATCGAGAAATAAATATTACTCAAAATTATTATTATTTTAGAAAACATTTAATGGTCAACGATATATCAACTACGTTATACAAAGTTTTCAATAAGTAAGAAAACATGTCAATTGTTACAAACAATGATAACAATAGAAACCCATTTCTCTACTTACTGAACACCCTGTTTATCTTTTAGCCTAAAAGTGTTAACCTAATAAAAGTTTTGTTTTATCATATAAAATACTGTAAAAAACTAAATGTTTATCTACAAAAAAATTTAATTATTTTATAGATGAGTCCTAATAAATATAAGTTCCAATTTCACTTTATTCAATACATTTATATTATAAAAATTCATTAAAAAGTGTTAAAATACTTATTTTCACTTGTAAGGTACATAATATTCTCAATTAAAATAAGAATAATAATTAAAATACATACCTGTAAAACATCAGCTAAAATCCATGTAAAGTCGGACAATATATAAGTGTACATTAAATTCGTATGAATTGTATTCCTCAAGCATCGTAAGTCTCTAAAAAATTATTTAAAAAATCATTTAAAATCACTATTTATAATTCAAAAAAATTCATATTTTTGCAAAACAACTTTAGATGAAAATAAAAATCGAAAGTAAAAGTTATTATTTTACCTATCTCGGCGTGTAAAATGAAATAATAGTTAAAATATAAAATAATTTTTTGCAGTCCAAAAATTTAAATGTTGGATTAGTTTACAGACAATAATTTAATATTTTTCCTATATATGATAAAATTTACCTAAATAAAATGTAAAAAATAAATTGTTTTTTGAGATAGCTAAATAATAATGTCAGCTGTCTCATTTTAACTTGTGTAATCATTTAAACCCATGTCTCCTGTTCAATTTATTAAATTTATTTGTTAAATTAATTTTTACATCGAAAATAGATTAATGAAATTAACTTATTCAATGAAAAAATATTTAATTCTTAGATTTTCATTTTATTTTATGTCACTTTGGTGAACTATTAATTTTAGGGTTATTTTTACTAATGCAAACAACCAAAAAAAGTTTAATACACCACTCATAAATATTCAAAAAGGGCTATGTACCATGGTGCTAGCGACAAGTACCAATTATGTCCGTAACGTGAACTCGAATGGCGTTCAGCATACGACAGTAATTGGTTATTGTCTATTACTCACTCCTTAGCTATAGCGTATGTACTTATGTAGAATATTTACACAATTTATCCCTTTTTTTATTATTTTTAACCTCTATTTAGAAATACTTGTACATATACAGAGTGTTCAGTAAGTTAGGAAACAGTTAAATTGTTACAAACAATGAGTACAATAGAAATTCGTTTCCTTATTTACTAAACACCCTGTATAATAGTCATATTGAGCTCAAAATTATTTTGTAAAAAAAATATTCCTATATACTTAGACTCAGTTGCTATTTAATAACAATGAAATAGAGGATGATATACCTTCTATTTTTATTACAAACTATACATTATTACATCAATTATTAATTTTAACCTAACTGAGAGAAAATATACAGGGTGTTCAGTAAGTCAGGAAACAGGTTTCTATTGTTCTCATTGTTACAAACAATGAGAACAATAGAAACCCGTTTCCTGACTTACTGAACACCTTGTATACAGAGTAATTTATTAATCAAGACCCATTAATCAAAAAATTAAAATAATATTGAACATTTTTACTTTAGTTTCTTTTAATAACATGTTTTTCAATTAGTTAATCATAGTATTTTTTACATATGTTCTTTCCCTTACACCTTGTAAGGGTGAAAACTTTATTTTATCAATTAGAAACATACATAATTAACTTATTTATTTAATAGATAATAATTGAATTAAAAAATGACTGTTCGATAACAACATTTGGACCAGTATTTCAGAAATTATTAATATATTTTAGTGATGGCTGAAGGTAAGACGTGTGTATTGTTATTTCTATCATTAACCGCCCGTTCATCGTTTCCGCCAAAAATGACCGTATCTTTTCGGCCAAGCATCATTTCCGCCAAATCTGATTAAGGTAGGTTTTTCGTCTCCGCCAAACCGATAATTTATACCTGTCTATAAATAGAAGCTTGAGAACCACTGGTTAAAATATATGCCAAAATAACCAGATAATAATTATCTCTATTCATTTAATCGAACGTTATACTATTTTTTTATTGTTATTAGATAGCAGTGCATTGATAATTGTAAATCATTTCATTCACATTTTAATGAACAATTTTTTAAGGCGCATCCGTCTATTAATAAATTTTTAAAAATTTTAATGAAAAATATTTAGTCTTATAATTACATTATAATATATAGTTTTGATAAAGCAGTCTCAAAAAGCGTACGGAATAAAATTGAAATCCGTTTCAGAAAAACAAAAGAGACCAGTGATAAATTTAATAACAATGAAATTAGCCGATTTGAATTTGTGAAATTAGTTATCAACAACTATCGAAAAATTTATAGATCATAGATCTATTTTTTATTATATTATTACAGGTATTAGATATTTTTAAAGCTTATTGTTAATATTTGAATTTTATTTTAATGTTTTGATGACATTTTATTTTCTTATAAACTATATTTTTATTATTCATTACAAATAAATATATACATACTTAAGATAATTATCTATTAGAATTTATTTACCTTAGGTAAAACGTCATATTTTCTTTATAAAGTTATGCCTATGTGATATAATAAGTAATTATTCAAAACGACGTGACCATATTTAGAGGTGGTTAAGGGGGTTAAAAATTCTTGGGAGCAAATGTCATTTGATAATGATAGGACAAAAAATTACTTTATTTTGCTCATTAATATTAATACCTCACGCAAAAATCTTAAATACAGGTCTGAACGTAATATTCAATAAAATCCAAACAATGTGATACTGGCAACTATCTAACTTGCCCGTATGCTAAAACCGATCGTCGTGGTGACCCATGGATAAAACTAAATAGTTCTCAAATTTTTTTGTAGATAGATAGGTAGAAGATTAGTTTGGCAGAACGATAATCTCGCCATTAACCATATCCCGAACGTACTCATCTTTCTTTCTAGGTATAAACATGTCTATAACTTCTGAATTATTTGTCCGAAAGTAGGTATCGACCATTCATTATCTTCAATAAATCAGTATCGATTAATAAATAAGCAAGATAATGATGTAATTTGCCATTTCAAAAAATAAAGTTGACATCCTTATAAGGTATAAGGAAATAAACTTAAGAAAAAATATTTTGATTCATAAATTGAGAAAAACATGTACCTAAGAGTAATTTAAAGAAAAAATTGTTCAATACTATTTTTATTTTTTGATTAATGACTATTAATGTTAATTTATGAATTACTATTAAACTTTATGTAAATGGTTCACGATAAACAAACCCTATGTACAGGATATCTCAAACCTAATTATGCATATAACTTTTAATGTAATTATTATTATTTTTTAAATTGTTTCTATTATTGCCTTCTTAGACTACGTATAGAGCATATTTTTTATTAAATATAACTAATAAGAAAAACATTAAACAACAAAACATTTTTATGTTTTTTTTTAATTTTAAAAAAGTGGTTTTTTAGCCAATATTTTACAAAAAAATTTGATATGTTGATATCAATTTTAGAACCAGTACTCATTGAGTTACAAGCATTTTAATAAGTATAGTGGGTATGCAGCGTGAGTAGTACAATTAATTATACTACTATATATATTTCCTTACAATTAATATGTAACAAAGAATATGTTTTAAACTAAGAAAGCAATAGTTATTAAAAAAACTTTATCAAAAGTTTTGTATGATGACAGTATTAAGTAAAAAAACAATTAGAAACAATAGCAAAATGGATCTGGAAATGATTATTTCGTATTAGGTGAGTTGAAAGAAAAAACAATGACAAAATTACTCAAATTATAAGGCAAAAAAGAGTATTGCTATTCATTGTTAAAGAAAGAAGACTAAAAGTCTATTTTTTCGCTACGACAAGGATTTGCTTTTAGTAAGGCATAAGTAGATATTTGGAAAATGTCCAGAAAAAATTGATAATTTTACCGAATGTTGGATATTAAAACTGTTTGTTAATTAATAATATAATGTATTATCATCATATTAAAGAAAAGCTAATAAATTAAAACTTACTTGAAATATAAAAATATTAATACGGCAGCTATTAATGCTACCAAAGAGATTATATAGCCGTATAAATAGAAATATGATTCATATATAACTGATAGATCTGATTCACTATAACTGATTTCAAGGTGTTGACATTTCATATAATCTGAAAAATTTGCCCAAACACCATCAAAGTCACAATATCGACTCGCATTTTCTGAAATTTAATATGCAAAAATTTAAAAACAAATATGAAATTTAGCTACAAATATTAATTCTATATTTAAAAATATAAATTTATATAGTATAATTTTATAATTTGTACAACATATATAATTCTATACAAGATGATTCATTTATCACTACCCATTATTTTATCGAAAAATAACTATAAATAACTATAATATATAATATATCTATAAGGGTGTCAACAGGTTAGTAATAACCTCGAAAATTAGAGATGATAAAAAAAATCTAATCGCAGATAGGATATCAATGCGATAATTTTAGGTTTAGAAAAAGTATATTTTTGTAACTTTATAGAGATCAATTTAAACCAAATTATTTTTTGAACATTTTTGCATAAAGCTTTTCAATTTTTATAGATGTTTGTTATAGAAGTAACGAAATATACAGCTACATTATAATTTTTTATAATTTATCCGTAAATTTTACAATATTAAATTATTGAATATCAATTACATACTAAGATTAATTATTATAATTAAAACTATAAATTACAAAGTAGTTATTTATATATTATACTTATAAGTCACATAACTTGTAATGAGGATACAAATAATGAAATAAGAGCTCACTTTGCTTTTGGAATAATCCACCCATTACATAAAATTATATAGCATCTACAGTATATACAGTATATTACAGTATATACATCGAATCGTTTCTTATGATAGCGATTTTAATCACTGTCAGATATCTTTACTTGTCCCAACTATGCCACGACCCCAGTTTGCTACCGTTTTTGTGTCTTTCACTACCTTTTCTCCGCTTTCACTGAGCCGATTTATCTCAATGATACGTTAAAAGATCACAAATCGTATCTAGTTGTTGACATTACTCTTAAAAATTGAAATTTTTGCTAGACAAATTATTTAAAAATAAAAATTGTAATAGAAAATAAACTTTATTTTATAAAATAAAATTTTTTACGCAATAACTATTTATACAAAATATCCAAGACAACAGGATGATATTTATAAACACACTGTGAGAGTATATGTGTTTTTATACATGTAAAAATGGACAAAATTGAATTAACGGAATCTCAAAAACGATGTTTGATAGGTCCTCGATTAACAATGACTGCTAGTCAGAAGTCTGATGTGAGAACTGCTTTTGAATTACTTAACAGACAGGGAACAGGTGAACTTAACATATCTGACGTAAAGGTAGCACTTCTTAGTTTAGGCATGGAGCCAGATGGTGTCGAAATGACAAAAAAATTAGAACTAGCTGATATTGACCAATGCGCTCCTTCAGTTTCTTATGGCCAATTCTTTTTGTTATTTGAAAAACTATTTTGCTCAAAATCAATGACTCCATTAGAAGTACGTCATTCATTTTCAATCATAGGGAGTGAACGTGATGGTCGAATGCGTATACAGCATTTGCAATCTGCTGCCAAAGCGTGCCAACTGAATTATACTGACGAAGAGCTGTCTGAAATGATTAAATTTGCCTCTAATGGTAATGACTCATGTTCACCTGAAGAACTTATTAGATTTTTGGAAACAATAACAATGTTATAAAGTTATAAATATTAATATTTGTTTAAGATGAATTTTGATTCAATAAAATTCAGGGTAGACTCAAGGCACAGAAAAATTTTTCTTTTTCAAAAAAGTCATTTTTTTATTTTAAGAACACCCTCTAAATATACTTTAATTAAATAAAAAACATTTGACTAAAATTTGGGACCCATTAAAGTTTATCCGTGCCCACTGGTATCTAAGATTAATTTAATAACTTAATTATTATAAAAAAAAAATCTACATGTTAGTACTATACATTTTTTTAAATAACACACACAAATCCTATGAAATCTCATATACTTATATCGGGAACAATGTTAACATCATCAGCGCTACACATATATTGGCACTTCAACCATAAATACTCCCTTATATACCCTTAATTACCTAGTAGTGTTGTCACTTAGTGATGTTATTACTTAATGATGTTTATAAAATCAGAGTATACATAGAATTTATCTTTGAGAAGGATTACTTTTAAGACTCATCCTCATACAAATATAACAAACAATCAGTATAGAGGTTTCATGAATTTTACAAGAGTCAAAAAATTACTATCTTATATTTTACTAACTTATAAACATATTTTAAGGAAATATATAGCAGCTATATTGTAGCTATAGTGGTTAAAAAATGGTATATACTTTTATTTTGGTAACTCAATTAAATTGAATCAATTTTATTAATTTTTTTTATGATTTATTTATATCAAGCTACTTTTATGAATATTAACTAAAATTCTTCCATTTTATAAATGTAAATAATTTAACTAATTTTTAGTTCAATATAAAACTTAAAACAAAAAATATAATCATAATTTTAAATAAAAAAATATAATTTTTAAGAAAATAATACATATAAAAGTAATTTGTTTTAGTAATGCATGTTCTTTATCATTTTTAATTTTAAAGAATATAGATAGGATAGTACAGATTATTAAAAATAAAACGTTTTTTAATAATTATAGTAACCTTATTCAATAATAATTATTGAATTATTTTCAGTTAATCGAACATATTTATTTATTTATTTTTTAAATATTTAATACATTGTTTTATTAAAGGAAAATATTTTATCAATTTAAACAATTATTTTAATTCAATTTCTATGTATACAATATCAAATCCTTATAATAGAATACTAGTAATAATAATTTCTGTACAATTGTCCAAAATAAATTATTTACGTAAAAAAAAATAACCATACAAAAGTAATCTATAAAAGGTGATAAACCGTTGAAAATTAAGAAATTGTTACACGTCATTTTTATTTAATTTTATACGCAAAAATAAATTTAATTATTAAATAGTATTTTTTTAATTCTTTTATATTATTAATAATGTAAATGCGTTGAAAATTTCAAATCAAACTATAAGTTTTATATACTCACGTGAAGTATCATATCGAACTCCGTTTAATTCTCCAAAACATGGTTGGTAAACTAATGTTCCACCTTTCGTAGCATTCCAACATAATAATTTATCCCAATGCTGAGGGCACCAACCAATTTCTCTCGTTATATTTTGAGATAGACAATTCTAAAGTTAAAATTAAATTTTACTCTTTTAGGTACAGTTTTTGTTAATTTAGTTTATAAAAAATGAAGCCTATTACATACATTATTTTTTGAATATTATGGTTAAATTAAACTCAAATTTAGAGGTTCATTCTATTCTACGAGTCAAATCTAAAATTCGTAACAATGCTCGTTGAAAAGACATCTCGAGTTGTGTGGGTATAACAACATTCCAAAGAAACCACATGAAATATCATTATTCTCAACTTAAAGCTAAACAAGAATCAGGTGATTCAAACTGTTACATTAAATATATCACAGGACTTTCAAAACTATTACAATGAGACTAACTTTAAAGCCCAAGGTTAAACACTTTTAATACTAATTAATTAATAAAAAAAATGTACACTAATTTTAGTAATGTTAATTTTTTTTTAGGATTTATAAATTATTTTTTTAGGTAAAAGGCATCCGGACTAAACTTAATCTACTCCGTGTTAATATAATACCAGGTTTAAGTTATGGCTTATGTGTATCAACTATAATTTGGCTTTGTGACTATATCCATGACAATGAACATTTTAATAGTTACACTGTTTTTCGATCTGACCGTAATCACCTTACCACTGAGTGTACAAGAGGAGGTGTTGCGTTCTGTATAAAAATAAATTTCCTGCATTGTAGATAATACCTCATATTTCTTGTATTGAAAATAGCTTTTTACAATATAAACAAATTAAAAATTGTATATGATCTCAGATTTGAGATAAGGGTTTAGGATAAGCGTGGCCGACCCCAAGTAGTTGGGATTAAGGCGAGGACAAAAAAGAAGAAGAAGGTCTCAGATTTATTTTTTTCTAATATAATCAATATGTTTGTTCCATTAAACACTGAAGAATTAAATTCGTTAGATATTTATCACCCTGTTATCTCTGTTGATTTTGAATAGCTTATTCTTTATAGCTAATATATGTTATTATTTATAGCTTAATATAGCTTTTATAAACCATGGCTTGTAAAAACTTGACGAATCAAATTATATTAATGTTGCCACAAGTTAATTTTACCATATATTATATGATTTTATTAATTCTCATGTACCAAAATATATAATAGTAATATCGGAGACATCCTAACTGATTTTCATTTAATTTTCGAAAATATTTTTAAAAAATATTTACAATTCATAAAAATTATAAAGCCTCTAAAACACCCTTATCAGTCAATCAAACATTTTGGTAACCATGTTAAACGTCTTGTAATAATACTTATATTCCGACTTCTGTTTATCATTTAGCTAAAACTTAGGATATCCCATTAGAAGTCGTAAACTTATTTAGATCTTAGTTTTCATCTGTTTATATGAAGCCATCACTTTTTATGAAACAGTGCTAGAAAACATACATGACTATGCTATTTGTAATAAAATAGATATCTTAATCAGTGAAGTCTTTGATTTCCTAGCTTTGTTAAAGTATGGTCCTGACTCTTCCCTCCCCTTTTACAAAATAATTGTCGTTTAGTAATAACTAAATCTATTCATCATTTATATAACCATTCCTTAAAATCTGGTAAATTCCCTAAAACCTGGAAAGTCAATCATATAACTCCTGTTTGGAAGTCTGGCGGTAGATCTTGCGCCACTAACTATAGATTTATTTCTAAAATAAATAGTAAACCAAAACTTTTTGAAAGAAACCTTGAACCTAAATTAACAGATTTATTTTCCTCTTTTTTTGAAATGAGTAACACGTTTTTCGTCAAGCTAAATCTATATTAAATAAATTCATCAGTATTTTAATCCTTTTTGGTAAACATTGCTACTGCTGGAAGTCAAATACTATTTACACTGACATCAACAAAGCATTTAATAAATATAAACCATTATTTTATTTTTGCTAAATTACATAAATTAAGTTTAAGAGATTCTTTATTATTTTTATTAATAGGGTTTTTTATTATTTAAGTGAACGCTCTAAATTAATAAAAATTAATAATAACTCTATTTCTAATAATATAAATATTATATATGGAGTTCTATAAGGCCGTCATTTATAACCTTTGCAAACTTTGTTATGTAAAAATTACTTAAAATCAAATAATTCATTTTTGAAGCTACATTTGTTTACAGAGTAATGACTGATTGTCCTGAAATACTACAAAAATTTGACTTAAAATCTTATAATTCTTTCTAATGTTATTTAATTTAGATATAACCCTTTTGCTATACTTTAATCTAATACATATACAGGGTGATTTTTTTATCATAACCCACTCAATTACTGACAGAATAATAATAATTTAAAAATTTTTTTTTATTACTATCTTTAGTTACACATTATTCTTGAATTATTAACTATGTAATACTTTTTAAGATCATCCCTTATGCCTAGTAAGGGTATAACTTTTTAATATAACTTAATTCGTTTATTAGATATAATCATTTAAAGTTTCAAATTTTTGAGTTAATATATAGGTATAATACACAAGGGATTACAAATACTGGTAGCTAATTGATTTTTTTATGATATTGCTATCACAGTCACGGATTGTTTATTATCAATTATGACTATCAATAGATATACATTCTGTATTGTCAGTTAGTGTATTTATAAACTCACAACAATGTGTCTTACTACCATTGATAATAACAATGCTTTGTACCTGCTAATATCGATGTCATAAAAAACCAATTAGCTTTAATTTTAATCCCTAGTGTATTATACATGTATATTAACTCAAAAAATTGAAACTTTAAATGTTTATATCTAATAAACGAATAAAGTTATATTAAAAATTCAAATGACATTTGTTATTGAATTGAAAACTCAAACATTTTATTAAATTCAAAATATGTGTTACCATTTAAAAAAACAAAGTTGACACCCTTACTAGGCATAAGGAATGATCTTAAAAAGTATTATATAGTTAATAATTCAAGAATAATGTGTAACTAAAGATAGTGATAAAAAAAAAATTTTTAATTATTATTATTCTGTAAGTAATTGAGTGGGTTATGATAAAAAAATCACCCTGTATAATACACAAGAGATTACAAATACAGGTAGCTAATATATTAAATAGTTCGATACGTTACTTTCCAACAATTTGTAATAAAATATATAATATCGATATTCTTTATTTTTATACTACTTTAAAAACTCATATTTTTAATTTTTAGTAATTATTGTCATCATCCTTAAGTTTTTAACTACTCTAATAATGTATTACAATATTAATTTTTTTGTTTTTGCTATACTCTTACACCTTAGGGTGCTAAAATTTATTTTTTATTGATTTATTATAATAAATTTAAATAAATAAATATATATAAATTGAAAAAATATAATATTAACATTAATATAAATATAGTTGGCCAACTTACTAAATTCACAGTTTGTCCTGTAGTCATTGTTATTTGTATTTTCTAAGAAGCTGAAACATATAAGTAATAAAATTTTTATAATAATTTTAAAAGATACAATGATAACACCCATGTGTTATATTAGATGATCACAAATGTGATCTGGACGTCTAGAGGAAGGTTAGACCCCAATTTTTGTCGTAGTCTCCCCTCAAAAAAAAAAATCATGAAAATTACATGTAAATTTATATAGACATATATTTATCCAAGGATACTTCAAAGAACACTTAAAAATATTAAAAATCAAGAAGTATAGAAATAAAAATAAACATGGAAATCGTTCATTACAGAGAAGCTGAAGTAACAATTGTTTTCGTTTGCGGTCTATCTCGGACTAATCTCTTACAATCAATTTTCCTTTACTCTCAACTATTCTTTATTAAAGAATAATGGTTATAATTGAAGTATCAAAATTCTTGGATAATTTTCGATAATTAACTTTAATAATTATTATTATTTTTGTAATATTTTTTTTGTTTGACTTATCAAAATAAATAAAACATCATTTGTCCAGGAAGATTTTTCGATTATTTTTGGACACTCTTAATTTTAATAATTTCAAAATTTTATTTATAGTATAATCCTATTATAGATAATGTTGAAATTTATTTGATATCTGATTTTATTTTTAAAATGACAACATATATGCTTTCGAACAAACTTAAAAATAAACATCACAAAGGAGTTGCGGCCTAGTGGGGACGTGTTATAGTTGCATCCAGTATAGATGATATCTGACAGTGATTGAAATCATTATCATAAAAAACACTTCGATGCAAATCTATAGATAGTCTTTAATTTTAAGAAATTGACGGATTATTCTAAAAACAAAATTAACTTCTATTTCTATCATTATTCCTAATTAGTAGTTGATTTATAAGTATAATTAATGAATAAATATCTATTAAAGCAATTCAACGTAGTATGAAATCGATATTTAATAATTTAGCATTGTAATTTTTTAAGAGAATTTATAAAAAATTATAAAGCAGTTATTACTTTTATGGCAAACGTATATAAAAATTGGAAGGCTTGACACAGAACTTTTTAGATAATAATTTGTTGTTAATTATAAATAAATAGTGCGCAAAAAATTTTCATCAGAGTAAAAAATATACTTTTATTATTCAATTGTTCGTGCTAAATTCAAATCAGCAATTATATGTTTTCCATCACCAATAATTTTTTATATAATTACTAATTAGTTAAAAACTATAGTATATTACTATAAGGAAAATAGTTCTGAATATTTCAATTGTATCATCTATTTAAACACCAAGAATTACATAGAGAATATTAATATTTCTATTGAAATGATTTATTACCATAAAAAAATATTTAAAAACACAAAATATTGTTTTTATATCATTACAGATTTTGATTTTTAATATTTTAAAAATAATCAGTGTAAAATATCATTTTTAACCAATTATTTTGATATTTTAAAGTTGATATTTTGATATTTTATAATAAAAAAACCCAGCACAGGGGGTCACGGCTCATTAGTAGTGACGTAACATAGTTGGGTCAAATATAATGATATCTGACAGTGATTAAAATCACTATCATAAAAAATGATTCGATGCAAATCTTTAGATAGTGTTAATTTTAAAAAATTGGTGGATTCTTCCAAATGCTACTTGATTTGCTATTTCCTTATTTATATCCTGATTAAGATAAAGTATGTCGAATGAAATAGGGATATAAATATTATGTCTCATAAAAAAATTGTATTCATCCATACACTTTTCAATAAGTTATAGCATTAAAAAGTTAAAAATAAAATCCAAAATTTTCACATAAAAATAACATTTGGTAACTAACTTTTCACCATGAAGACAAAATAAAGTCCGAATTTTTTTTCCATGATAAAGTATATTACATTAGCTTTAATTTAAGATATATATAAAAGTGTCAGACTTTCCGGAACACTTTCAAAAGTTAAGTTGAAAATGTTAATTTTTTGTGAAAAGTTGTCATTTTGAATACCCCTCCTGTGGTCAGATAAAGGGTCAGATTTATAAAAAAAATATACTAAATGAAAGGTAAATATCTCACGTATCTATAAAAAAAATTATATTAATTTGATAATTTTTAAAAACATTATGGTAGTTTTAAATTTGTAATTTTTTCAGAGACTTCCCCCATTTACGGGAAACGAGGGAAATTTTTAATATTTTTGAGGATAATATCTTTGAATATTTACGATTTATGATCTTTTGACGTATCGTTGAAAGCAATCCGATCGGTGAGAGCTGAGAAAAAGTGGTAACAGACACACACAAAAAAAATAAAACATTTAGTAAAATTAATACCTTTTCAGTTTCCTATCAAAGCTAAAAAATCTATCACAATCCGAAAGTGTCACTCTGCACCATAGAAGTGTACATTAAGTAAAGTTATAAAGAAGTTAATACGACCTTAAAATAAACACAGATTTTAAGTAACTTCATAATAAAGATTCTATACATAACGTAGTGACGTATACGAGAAAACATATTGTAATGTTGAATATATTAAATTCACTAAACTGGCATTTAGCGTCCCAGAGTTGTCTCAAAGAAGTCTTTGAGAACTTAATATGTCTCAGAGTAATGGTTATGTCATAATTTTACAACGTATTTTAGTACACTGGGATAATATAAATATCTAATTTCATAAATAATAATATCATTTATTATATCTAGTAATAAAATAACTTGTTACTTAATGCTCCTCAATTTATTGGATGTCATTAATAAATCAATATGTGGAATTCCAGTAATTATTAATACTACAGTACCCTGCCAAATTATTAGACCGAAACACAAAAATTTAATTTATATTTTTTCTGAACTGCAAGAAACTTCAGTGATTTCAGCTATTCGGCATTACATAAAATTTTGAGCTTTTAACACGCCGGAAACTGACCAACTTTCATTAATGACAAATCTCGCTGTTTTAAGCAAGATGTACCGCAAACATCATAGTAAATTTTCTGTTTAAGCTTTAAAAAAAATATATTTTTTGAAAAAGAATTTACTTCACAAAATCAAAAAGTATTCTTAATTATTTAATATTGTAAAAATATTGAAATTCACAATACAACTTAAGCACTGGTTTTTCGTTATATGTTGATCATTGCAGTGTTACCAACAAATTACATATATAATCAGTGTTATAAAAACAATACATTAATTACTACTAACATTTGAAATAAAATACTAATCAATATAATTACAAAAATGTATAATAATAACTAAAAAAATTCTGAAAAAAGTTAATTAACAGTTTAGATCTAATATGACAGAAAACTGTTAATAGCTGATAAATTTCTATTAATTTTGATTAAAAATTAGATAAATCATATCATAAATAATAACAATAAATTAATTTCGATAAATATTAAAGTAAACTTAGTATATTAAATTTACTATACTAAATTCTAATATTAAAAACAAGCACTAATTTATCGTTTCTGGTTTATAAATAGTGTGTTCAAAATGCTTAATGATCAATGAACAATTAAAACAATTAAAGTGAGCACAGAGGTTCTTTATACACTCATACTAAAGAGAAATACGATCATTAATTAATGAACTAATAACTGAATAGCACCCTATCTATACAAACCAAAGTATAGTAACATAAGAAAATACTAAAAGCTTGCAAACTTTCAACAATAAAAAATATTTATTATCTCAAAAACATGAGTAAATAGAACACTTCCGAGGTCATTTTCTAAATCAGCAACCCAAAATAATTAGAAATGACACCTTAGACAACTGACAATTTTTTTTTATCAGTTAGAGTTAGTTTTAAAATTATAACTACTTAACTTTATCAATTCCAATGTATAAGAAAGTGGTGCGGCACAGTGGTTCATTTGGTCGCTGCCTTAGCGCTGATGTAATTTTCATTGTTACTATGAAATCCAGATACAAGTTATTGTCATAAAATTTTAATAATAAATAATAAAAATATTATATTGAAATTAATCATAAAACAATCTGTTTTTAGTTAATATTTAAAACATTTTCATGAAAATTCGATAAAAATAAGTAAAATAGTAAATTTAAATATTTTTTAATTATTTCATAAATTAAATTTGACAAACTTACGAATCTAAAAATAACTTTGTACATTTTAATATTATTTTTAACAAAATGTTTTGTAGAATTAAAAGTTTTTATTTAGTTAATGAGAATAAAGGTCAAAAGTTAATTTTTTTCTTTTGAAAAAATGTAACTATAATGACATTAAATTACATTTAAACTAAACTTGTTTCTGTTATTTTAAGGGTATCTATAATTGTCTAAAATATATATATTTGTCTAAAATAAAATATATATGTCTAAAATTTAAACCATACCTGGCTAAGATTTATTTTATTAACTATTTATTTGATAGAAGAAAGTTTATAAAAACTATATAAGATGAATAATATGCATTAAATATTTACAACTAGAAATTGAATAATAGTAATTTATTATGAGGTATATTAAGAATAGTGAATAGAAATTTTTGCAAAAATTTTCAATACTTAAATTTTTTCCTAATTCAGATTATTTAAAGTTTTATTCATCAGGAATCGTACGTCTTTATAGAAAAGCATTACGTATCGCCCGCATGTAATAGATACAAGTCGCACAACCTTCATAATTATTATGGTTTTAAACAATTTTTAATTGTGCCGTTTATTTATATTTACTATCAATATAATGTTCTGTATTTTACAATATTCAGATGATTCAATTATGAAATTTTTTAGCAGATTCAAAAGATAAAAACCTAACCCAGTACAGTGGGGATGTGGCATAGTTGAATCAAGTATAATGATATCTAACAGTGATTAAAATTACTACCATATAAAACCCTTCGATGCAAATCTTTAGATAGTGTTAATTTTAAAAAATTGGTGTATTATTCCAAAAGCTAATCAAGTAGCTTTTGGAATAATACACCAATTTTATTTTATATTTAGAATAAAAATTCTATTTCCTTATTTACATCCTGATTAAGATAAAGTATGTTGAATGAAATAGGGATATAAATATTATGTCTCATAAAAAAATTGTATTGATCCATACACTTTTCAATAAGTTATAGGATTATAAAGTTAAAAATGTAAAAAATAAAATCGAGAATTTTCATACAAAAATAGCATTTGGTAGCCATTTTCACCGTGAATACAAAATAAAGTCCAAATTTTTTTTTTTCATGATAAAGTATATTACATTAGCTTTAATTTAAGATATATATAAAAGTGTCAAAATTTAGGGAACACTTTCAAAAATTAATTTGAAAAAGTTGTCATTTTGAATACCCCTCCTGTGGTCAGATAAAGGGTCAGATTTATAAAAAAAAATATACTAAATGAAAGGTAAATAACTTACGTATCTATAAAAAAAAATTATATTAATTTGATAATTTTTAAAAACATTATGGCAGTTTTAAGTAAAAAAAATTTTAAAAATGTTGAAAATTAACATTTTTTTAATTTGTAATTTTTTTTTGGAGATTTCCCCCATTTACGGGGAACGAGGGAATTTTTTTAAATTTTTGAGGATAATATCTTTGAATATTTACGATTTATGATCTTTTGACGTATCGTTGAAAGAAATCCGATCGGTGAGAGCTGAGAAAAAGTGGTAACAGACACACACAAAAAAAATAAAACATTTAGTAAAATTAATACCTTCTCAGCTTCGCATCGAAGCTAAAATACGATAGTTAAATACTAAAAACTTAAACACAAGATAATTTCATTTTTGCTAAATACTATGTATTCAGTGACCTAAAAATTTAAAAAAATATCTCTACAGTTTGGAATCATAAATTAAGTGGCAATATTTACGGTACGCAAGATGGGCATTTAGCCACCTTAAGAAAATCAAATTAATGTGAAATACAATTAATCATGTGTGATTTTTGTTATCACTAAAATTTTTTTTTACATTAACATGGATTATTCTCAAATACAGCTAGGGATATACTAATAGATAACGAATAATTTCACCATATGTTACCATTTTCCAATAAAAAATTTAATATAGTGTGTTATCCATGTATATGTCTTTTATTTCACTGAAGAATTTGGCGTTAAACGTTAAACGTAGAGGAGTGGTTTCAATAACAAGGCATTATCCTTAATAGAAAATGATTATGTCTATTTTTATCAGCTACTTAGAAAATCCATAGATTTGCGTGTTTATTTATTGAAATTCGAAAAATTAATTTATTAAACTATTTTTTTTTATATAGATTAAAAAAAAATTTGTTTAAAATATTTTCTTTTATAATATCAATTTAAAAATTAGGTTTCCATTTAAGAAAATTAAGATTAAGGTTTTTTATTCCTGAAGGAATGAAAAAATTAATAATGTAACTATATATCGTTTAGATAATTTTTAAACTAATTATATTTTCTCTTTAGAAATTTCTCTAAAGTCTCAGTCTTTTCTGAGAATAAAAGAGTCTTAAGAAATTTAGATTACTCTGTATATGTAGTTGTCTATAGTAATATTAAAATAGCGTGCATAAAGATCAACATTTTTTGTCCTCCCCTCTTTAAAAAGTGAAATATCTTTATTATCATAAGTATATAAAAATTATGGAACCATTTTTTGTAATTAATTTTATGTATCTTCAAATAATTAGGATACATAAAATCAAATTGATACACCATGTTCAGTGTAAAAATAATAATTAGATTGTAAAGATTAAAAATATACATTTTTACTTCAAAATATAAAAATTAATACAAAATATTATTATCAATCTTGTTAAAAGATTAATATAAAAGATAAAATATTACTCTTTATATTTTATAGATAATCTATAGTATTTCATATCAACTTATTTTTATTTGCAGGTTTCTATTTAATTTGATAGATAACTTTTTTCGAAGGAATAAAATACACATCCTGCAACCACAATTGACGCCACTTACTCATCTTCATATCGAAACAAAAATAACAATTTTTTAATTCTCATAATATATTTAATTTATTAATAACAAATTCATTATTATAAATTAAAACAAAAAAGTTATAATAATAAGTTTAGCCTAATTTTTTTTATAAATGCCTGTTAATCTCAATTTGAAAGACACAAATAAATAGGTCAAAGTTGACACAGCGTCCCAAGTATATTGTACGACTCTTTTCTAATACAATTAAATTACATTTAGAATTTCAGAAAAAAAATTAAATATTTTATTAATTTTATCTTTAATGCGTATTGGTTTTTCTAAGTGGTTTTTTTTTTAAGATCTATCTATATGACTAATACGCTCCTGAAAAAGTACATTTCTATCCAATAATTTGAGAAAATTGGAGTCCATAAAATAGTTATAAGTAAGGTTCTACCTATAAATTTCGATTCAAATTAATAAAAACTATGGATTACATTGAGAAAAAATTTTAAGATGTATACTTCCTATCAGTAACGTTTTCAAGTCAGTAGAGCTTACAATGAAAATTTATAGATCAAATTAGACCTACTTAACATTTTTATTTTAACGTTTCGATTTAGTTTGAATATAATTCTTATACAACTCATGTGTGAACAAATTCCACTGAAAATAATTATATACTATCACTAGAAATTTATGAATATTTAGTAAGGAACACTTTGACGTACTCTACGTTAACATAATTTTACGTAACTTAAAAATTGTTAATAATGAAAAATTTAATCAGTAAAAATTTATAAAATATATTTAATTTTATCTATACTTTTTATATTACTTCCAGATAAAATGTATGTTTATTACTAATTGTTATCTTGATAACAAACGTCATAAATAATAATCTCTCTAATTATGATTTATTTATATTTGTAAATTTAATACAAAACAACCAAGCTTATATTCGTTTTTTTCATTTTATTCCTTATTTTTATTACTATAATAAATGCTATGAATGTTAATATATAAATATAAGTTTAAATTACTCTAAAATAAGAATGCTTTCGTGAAAGTATTTTATATTTAAGTATGATCAATTTTCACACTTGTTGCATCTTGCATAAGGATTGTAAATATTTGAGCGGTACAGTTAATTAACTAACACACACAAATAATAATGTGTTACCTACCAATTTCGTAACATATAAAAATCACGTTTTTTTTTTTTTTAATTAAGCAGAATAAAACTAATAAATAAAATTGACGAATTAGGATTAGTTACTAGCATAAAAAACATCTATAACGCACGCACTAAGTTCGAAGACCATGCGACCGAGTCAAAAACACAGAGCAGACTGAAACCACGAATTTCGAAGTGCGGCAGCCGCACGAGTCTTGTTGAAGGGCCTAGCCCAGTAACGCACCGCCCACCCTTCTAAAAAATAGCTTATTCAATGTAACATAATACACGAAAGTTAAGAATAAAATTTTTTTTATTTATTTTCTAAATATCATTAAATGTACGACATACGTGTTACTATCATGTATATTTACAGTAAATAATATATTAAAATCTATATTAACTTATGATTTTTAAAAATAGACAAGTGTATTATTCTAACGAAAGCAATATCACAACAATTTAATAAATACTTAAGTATTAAAGATCTATAAAATTAATTAATGAGAATGTAAATATCTACGATTTTAAGACGTTTATTTTCTAGCTAGATATATTTTACGCTTCTAGAAATCTACAGATCCGCTTAAAATTATTGTATAAGATAGACTTTTATAAACTAAAAGCAAAATAAAATTTGAACTATGAAAAGAAAGAAAAAAAATGATTTAACCAAAATATTTAATTTTATAAAATCTTAAAATAGTTTAAGTTATTAATGAAAATAATAATAAATAAACTTTTCTGTCATACAATACTTATTTTTTTATACATCCTATACAATAATTTTTATTAGATACATGAAATAATACAAAAATAAATAAATTACCTAATAATATTACTCAAAAATATTTAGATGTACTCCTAAAGTATCTTTAAATACCATTTTATTAGTACAATTGTATACTTGCATAAAATTAACATGCGCAAACCAAAATAATATCCTTCTAAAATTATGTGCGTGAAAAAAAAGGCTCATAACTAAGTCAGAAATAAACAGATTTCAACGACATTTTTTGTGTATCTTTGGAACAGGTAAAAATTTCAGAATTTTAATTGAAAAACATTGGAGGCAATGAGTGTTTTTGATAAAGTCTTTAAACTCTTATGCTGAGCTAAAAAAAATTTAAACAAAATTGACATGTGCAAACCAAAATAATATTCTACTAAAAACTATGTTCATTGAAAAAAAAAGGGCTCATAACTCAGTCAGAAATAAACAATTTTCAATATTTTCAGTATATCTTTGGAATGTTCTCTAGACAAATCTTGTAAAAATTTTAGAACTTAAAAAGAAAAACTCTGGCGGCAATGAGCATTTTTGATAAAATTTTAAAGACCATGGTGTGCTAAATAAAATTTTCTTATCTTCACAAATAATTTTCTAGAATAACGTTATCGAGCTCTTTCATTATAAAAAATATTTTGAAAATGGTACGTCATCAAGTAATTTTTTCCAGCATTAGATAATTTTTTAATGTTTATTTATAAAATAAGATTAGATTATTTGAATAATGATAAACAAATACAATTATCATTGGTCTTCCAACATGTTGCGACTTACACCATTCTTAAAATTTTAATTCGTCCGATTTTCGTTTATTTCAATTAATATTTTAACATTTTACAGAAGCCAAAAAGTTAATGTTTGATCACTAGCTTAACGTTAATTTTTGAAGATGGCATACTACTTATAACGTCTTTGTAGTTTAAAATTCAGTTTTATCATTGATAAGAATGTAAAATAAGGTTATGTCGTGAGCGCTGTGTTGTGATAATATTTATTTCAATAAAAAGTGAAGTTTGAATTAATAGTTAACAGAAGTTTTAAAGAGTATTGAATTGTATATACTGCGTAGGATATATTTTATTTCCTTTAGTACGACTAACTAGTTTATTAACTTTTATTTTATTAAAGTTATGTACATTTAAATTCAAACTTTGTTTAAAATATTTTCCAATAACCACTGAAGTAAGTTATATTTTATATTATATGTTTTGAATAAATAATAAGTTGATTAAATAACAATAAAATCGTTCTATTTTTATTGCAGTTTAATAAAAAAAAGTTGTACATGGTTGATAGTAATTCTTCTTCAATTAAATAGAATAATTTTTGCCCTTGTTAAAATCTATATATTTAAACCCTTAAATAGCTACTAATAAATTTTTAGTGGAAATATTGTATAGTAGTTTGAACTTTTGTAAATATATTATCCAAAATACTAATATTGTTTATGGAAAATCATACCATATATTGTTTTAATGCTTGATTGGGTAAATTCATTATTATTTATGCATTAAAATTTTTGTTGAAGACTATGTAAGTGGAAAGAACATTATCAAAATTTAGATTTTTTTATTTACTTTTTTAAATTTTTTGTATATTGAAATTATTGAGTTTTAAAATTATAATTATAGAATTTCTAAATCAAATTTCGAAAGTATTACACTTATCTCTAACATTCTTGATTTGAATTACCAATGTGAATGTTAAGTATAGGTACTTTATTCATTTGGTCCCACAATTATTTATTTTATAATGATAAATTTATTTGAAAATCTAAGCAAATGTTAAACATTATGAAAATCCTAATTTAAATGTAAATAATTTCTATTGTGTATTAATAACTCAATTAATTTTTTGTTCCTGCAATTCTTTCATTTGTCTACTTAATAGACTAACTGAATTTTGTTTTAAATAACTCTATAGATGGACCTAAAAATTAGATTGACTTTCCATGCAAATACATAATTTGCCTATTTTTTTTTATTTTATTGACAATATATATTCTGAAATGATATCATTACATAAACAATCTATTAAATTTTGTTATTTTTTCTTGATATCTATTTATATAAATTAAAAATACATTATACATTTTGTATGAATAAGCTAAAAACTAATAAATAACAAATAAAAATTTTCGACTGAACTATAATATATTTGAAAAATTATTTTTCAACCTCTTTATCATAATCTGATTTTCCAAAATTCAATTTTTTTGGAAAAATTGAAGAATTATTAGATGAATTATTATTATTTTCTGTACTTAATAAACGTTCTGGTGATTTGCTTTTTGATTTAAAATGCATTTTTGTCGCCAGATGTCGGAACCTAAGAAAATAAATTTTAATTTGTTATTAAAAGTATCATATAAATAACTAAAATATAGATGGTATCACACAAAGTTTTAACTTATTTAATAACTTTTGATTCGTGAAATATTTTGCATTACTTATTTTTTTAAATAATTTTTGCAGTTTTGGACTATGTTAAAAGCATATTTTTTATTATTTGCCTATAATAAAATATATATATATATATACATATAAAAACTTAAGATCCTACACAAGCTCTCTCAGTAGAGACCAATATATTAATTAACTTTACCTTACTGGCACATCATTTCCCTCTTTGTCATCAAATACACCTTGGAAAAGGAATGCTAAAGGCCAACTTATCCATGAACCCCTATAAATATTTATGATTAATACTAATTTCAAAAATTCTAGATGTCAAAATAAATTATTACGCAGGTTGTGTAATAGAATCATCTCCATCATTAGCTGTTAATGATAGTCCATCATGTATTTCATCATCCATTGAACTTAAATGAGTATGTCGTCGTGATCCAGGTGAAGATCTTGCAATTTTAGGATTATAAATTTTAGGGTCACTAACCATGCGAACGAAAAATGATCTTTTATAAGCCAAATCATCTTTTTTCTTACGTTCAGTCAACTCAAATACTTCATCAACTTGTTCCTAAATAAATTAATTGATGATTAATAGTTTCAAAAATAATATACTTTCTAAGCTTTATCAGTATTGGGATTAAATCTTGAATATTCTCTATTTCTTACTTCTCGTTTCTCAACATGTTCTTGCTCATCAAATAAAACGGAATCAGCTGTTTCTCTAATAATTTTCCAAGCATAATCTAAAATTTAGTTAGTTATTTTTAATACTCATAAGAAAATTTTCTGCAAAATGTTCTTTCACTTAAAATTAGTTTATAGCTAGTTAATTCAAAATTTAGTCATAAATACTTTTAGACTATGTTATTATGCATATAAATTACCTTGGATTTCATAAAATTTTAAGCTTATAATTTCATGTTAAATTATAGAAATTCAAGAATAAATTATTTATATATGAAATATAGAATAGAATTTATTAATCCAAAGGAATTATACATAGGTGAGACTGGACCGATTTACTTAAAATTTCTAACAAGTATTTTATTTTACAAGCTTGTAAGGACTTATTACTAAATCCACCTAATTTTCCTTTTTAAATTATGTTCCTTTAATTTTTTTTTAATTAATTTTATATTTGTAATTAGTTAAAAAAATTATAAAACATTTTGGATTTTTCATTTTAAACGAGAAGTTGTTAAAATTATTAAATATGATTATTTAATAAATAATGTAACATTTAAAGTTCTTACCTAATTTTATTCATTTATAAAATGTTGAGTTACTGAATATTTTTTTATAAATAAATACTAGAAATATTAAGTAATGTTGTTTTAAATATTTATTTTTAATTAAATTAATTCATAAAAAAAATGTTTAAAATGTATTTCTATATATCAAGTAAACAATGGAATAATAGCATATTTATCAGTAGTGACTTAAGGTAGTTTTAGTTACGAAATCCTTACATGTTATTAGTATTCTAGCGAAAATATGAAAATATAAAAATGTAGTATGTGGTATGATATATATTAAGAATCGTTTTATTATAAGTTATAAAGATAAACTATTCGATATTAACATGACTTTGATTGATATTATTAATAGCTTTTACACATTTTGAGTGCATAATAGTTAGTTAACGCAAATTTTAAACAATTACAAATATTACAATTTATAAGAAATATTTTTATAAGGAAAATACTGTATTAGTATTATTAATTGATTATTTTTTTAACAATATTTTTATATAACAATGTATTTTACCAATATCTTCTTCTGTAGCGTATTCTGAAACCACACAAAACCTGATGACGTACTTATCGTGCACTAAAGCTGGCACCATATGAAGTTTTCCAGATTCATTAATGGTTTCTAAGAGCTTTTTGTTTAATTTATTTGATGGATCGTTTTTCAACCGAAAACAAACTAAACCCATCTATTTAAAGTAAAACATTAGTGTTCTAAAAAAATGTTCTACATTACCAGTTACAATTTAAAACGTAAATTACCTTTACGTCATTAGAAATTTCGTACTTATTGTCACTTCTCACCAATCTTTCAAATCGCTTTGCTAATTGACAGTGACGACGTATGTATTTTTGAAGTCCAGTTATTCCATAAGTTCTCAATACGAACCATAGCTTTAGAGATCTAACAAAATAATTTATCGCTGTCCTTATTATTATACCTCCGTTATTTAATTTATTTAACTAACCTAAAACGCCTGCTCAATGGTATTCCCCAATGTCTGTAGTCGATAGCTCCAGCATAACCATGTTGCAAGTAAAGTGGATCCACCACTAAGGCGCACGTTAGTTTATAACGATCTTTAACCCAGAGACAAGAACAATCGAAATTAGTTAATAGCCATTTATTAGTATTAAGATTAAACGAATCTGCGTATTGTATGCCGTTCATCAAGTATCGAAATTCTGGACATATGAAAGCACTTCCTGCATACGCTGCATCTACATGCAACCAAACTGTATCAAACTGTTGACATACCTGTCCGATTTCTACAATATTATCATAGGAACAACAAGAGGTGGTTCCTAAAGTTGTTGAAACGAAAAATGGTATTAACCCCATAGCTTCATCTTGTTCCATAACCTGTAATATAAAATCTTTTTAATATTTTACTATATTATACTCAAGCACAAAGTCTTTTTTTCGGGAGCGCTTCTAAACATAATTAACAACTTGTACTATAATCGACATACTTGACTCAAAGTTGAACCCCTCAAGCTGTTGTTTTCGTCGGGTTCGAGAATACGAAGCTTAACAAATGCCATCATGGCGCCTTTTTCCACACACGAATGTGCTTCTTTAGAACAGTAAGCCATCAATTTCGATAGTAATACTCCTTCTTCAATAAATGGATGTAGTTTTCGTAACCTTTTGATTGCTTGAGCCCGGGCGGCCAACATACATACAAAAATGCATTCACTAGCTGAACTCTAAGTAACCCGAATTAAAATGAGTTCACGTAAAATATACATAACTTTCCTTGAATGAAATGATGTGAGACATATTCCCATAAAATAATAATAACTAATAAGTAGTTTACCTGAAGGACACCGCCACCTTTACCATTAGGTATTTCGTTTATGCACTCTCCATTGTTTTTCAAACCGTCTGTGTAAACAGAATTTGTAGTTTCACCGGGAAATGTCAAAAATTCCTCTGGTAAACCGATAGCTTTTCCGAGCCAATCCAATACTATAGTTTCCAATTCAGTGCACGACGGACTTGCGGCCTTAACGTTATAGACATTATTACAAAAAAAAATTAATTTAGTAAACTTAAACTAAACAATATCGTTGCTACTAAAAATGCCTAAGTAGTGTTAACTAAACAAAATCTTTAAGAAAACAACTAAAATAAGTATTTTGAGTCGTATAATTTGCGCACTTTTAAACCATCAAAATTATCTTCACTGGTTTTTTTTTCGTATGATTTCAACTTTATGCAAGAACCTAAAATCCTTACCCATGAAAATCCAATGCATGATATAGAATCTGAGAGCATGTCTGCTAATATTGACGGATACGAATTACCAGAAGGAAAATATGCATGAAATCTTGGATGTTGCCAATGTGTCACCTAAAAAATATTTTTATTTTTACTGTTGGTGAAATTTTCTTTTTTTTTTTCAGATACTTGTAAAATAAAGATTCTTCAACTATAACTGTCCATTCATTGTTATTAAATGTAACTACGTATCATATTAGTAAGTTTAATTTATTATCATGACTGTCATAATATACACTAATATTTGAATAAAAATCATTATTTTATCACTTTAAACAAAAAAATAACAGTCAGTATATTGATTAAAATTACAAGTATACAATCATAGGCCGCTCTATATATTCATAAATAAAATTGAAAAGGTATTTAATTTTCAAATTAAAATATTTGAATCTAAATAAAATTATTTATAAATAAAAAAATTACAATTTTTTACAATAATTTTGATATAGAGCATGTGTCCTATCTAAAACACAGATACCAAATATATTTGTGAAATAGTTCTTACTTAAAGAGTATATTTGTAATATCTTGTAAAATAGTTAATTCGATTGATCTTGTTTTAAGTTACAGCTACCTACTTTTTTATTGACTTTTTGGTATTTATATTTATTTCACTATAAACTTATGTGTTTCATGTGTTACTCACCCCAGGCATAATAATTCTCTCTACGTCTTTCAATATAGCATCAAATGATTCTGGCTGTACAGGCGCTTCTAGTGGAATTTCTTTTTTTAACCAACCGGGGGTGACTGTAGGCGTCACTCGTCTATCTTTTATTGTCTCTAAATACTCGCATATATAATCAACCATTTCTTTTCCATATTTGCGAAATTGCTCCGTATCCATTTCGTGTAATGTGTTTTTCCTGTTGAATAAAAATATATAATTATCAATTTCACTATAGGTAATGTTTTATCATTTCGCGTTCAAAATCTCAATGTCAAGGAACGGTGGTTAATTTATTTTTCCTCGGCAGAGTTTTGTAATAATCTAAGTTGTCATACACATAAAAACCAAATACAGATTGACAGAGACCACTTCACGTCAACCACAGAATATTATTCCTACCTTTACATTTATTCTGGTCTCCATTTCATTTAAGTTATAGTACATAGGAAAATTGAAAGCTGTATTTTAATTAATTCTATCAGGGTTCTTACTCTGTCATTTTTAGTTCACCTTCTATGGAATTCAATCTAAGTTTTGCCGAAAAAGTTAACCTGTTACGCTTAGAAAAAAGAGTTGAATATTTTTTGTGATAAGTAATTTGCATTTTATGTCGTGTAACAAATAATATAATATAATGTAAATTACATATTATGTAAATTTGGAAAATGAATTTACTGAATAACATATTTAATTTTTATTAAATTAAAAATTTCAATCTTTACAGTGAGTTATTATAATTATAATAACTTATTAGGCGCTTAAAGATCCCAATTAAATATAAATATAACATATGTATATGTGTATAAAATATTATACATATATCTATTTTATTTATATAAAAGAAGTATAAATTAATATTACACTTAAAATTGTAAGTTTTATAGTTTTAATTTTCACAAAAAAAAAAACAATTATTATATTTTTTAATAGGAAAACTCACGTAGCCCCTACCTCTTTTTTTAATTTATTTATGTTATGATAACTAATACTTTTAAACAGCTAATTATTATTTGGAACTAATATAAATTTTAATGAATTAAAGTGTCATTTTTAGTAATAAACTTAGATTGTGGTATGAAATTCTATCTTAAAATTATTTTACCAGTGTAAAATATATATTATACTATCAACATTAGCTTGAATTCCGTAGATACTATAGTTGTTGAGCAAATTAATAAAATTGTAATAACAGGCTTCTAAAACAATTTTAGTCATATATTTTAGTTTTCACTTCACTCCTAAAAAAGATTCGGAGATTGTTTCTACTTTTGATCTTTATACAACTAATATCCTCCCCGCTAAAATTTTCTTTACGCATAATTAGAAGTATCTAGCATATCCAAATTTAACTTTTATTCTAATTTGTAACTTTTTAAGACGTTATTGTTCAACCTTGTATGTATGTATGTATATATACATTTTTTTCATTCAATCAGTTGGACATACAAATTTTCTACCAACTTTAATGAACTAAACATTTATCATCGCAGGTAAAAAGTTATATCTGTTCCACTTTATTATAGCCCTGTACTTGTCTTTATTATAACTTAAAATCATATATATCTTAGTTTTATTAAGGAGGATCAATGAAACAACGACATGAATTAATTCTTGCGAAAATAAAATTTACCATTTACCTATTTCATCAAATTACAGATATTCTTTACTTAAAAATATTTTTAAATACTTATTTATATTTTTTTAAGTAACTAGTGAATTAAGCTTTAAATTAAGTCGAAAAAATAAATTATTGCTTTGTTCACACTCTCTTTTATTTGAAATTACGTCTAAGACTATCTTCTTAATAAAATAATTATTATTGCGTTACTATTTTATACATAACTAATTTATTAAATTATAATACATCTTAATATACAACTAAAATGGCCGGTTATTATTAAATAATAAAATTAAGTTCACCTTGTAAATAAATATTATAGAAAATATAGTGTACTTACTTTTCCTTGTATACGAATACGTTGCGTCCAATACGGTTAGTGGATAAGATAGTTGTGAGGGACGTCCGAACTTTAGTGATGCGCGAATCCAATGACAGCATAATTTTTACTGCATAATTTTGTCTGTAGATTGATATCACGCTTAAAAACTCCCCAATATACTTTTAAATTCAATAAAATCTATTAACGATCTCATTTTTAAAAAGTTACATTACTAAAAAAATCATAGTCATAGATATAATTTTTATTTATTGTCGATTTATCTAAACTGTTGCAAATAAAACTTATCCTTAACATTATAAATTCAAATACTATTTCTTAATATTTTGGTCTATATTAAATATAGACCAAAATTTTAAATTTGAAAGAATATTTGATGTGGAGTAATTGCCTAAAACGGCAATTTTAAAGATGTATACAGTCAGTATATGCTAAAAAATAATTTTTTTTTATACATATATTAAAATTGTAGGTAGTTTTCTTTATATGTTTTTTTTTATTTTGTAGAAACTATTTTTAATAACTTACAAAAAAAAACACATAATTATTATTTATTCAAGTTTTATTTATTTAAGCCAAGCCCTTAGAAAATTATGTACAATTAAAATTTTTATAAAACTAGATTTAATCAAAATCATTACGTTAAAAAAATTATTTCGTAACTTTTATAAGTTTTCGTTAATAGATAAATTTTTGATCACTTTCAAATTTAAATATGTACACTTACTATTAATACTTATCGTTAAATTGATATTGATATTCGATATAGTTGATATTTTAATAAACTCTACCTATATGAGCTACTCAATGGGATATGATTACCTTTTTCATTGTATGTATGGTACGCATATAAGGATAAAAATGTTCATTACTCTAGTCTAGAGAGGAGGCTCAACTTTTTAGATTCATAATAAGTATCTGGGTTGATTTTAACAATAGTAAATATTATGAATAAGTAACAACAAAAAGTACAACTTCTTCATCAACGTAAGTTTGCAAAGGGGTCAGAAAATTCCTTTTCGTGGCTAATTAACTGTGATCAAACTGATTATTATGTTAACTATTGGAACTTATTATCTGTTAGTTTCAACTTTATACACATGTTCATTGAGTTATTATTGTATTATACGCAGGAAATGAAAGTTTTTCCTCTTCATCTCGTTTATAATGAAAATATATACTATATGTCTATCCTTGTAATTTATCACTAAATTCCATCATAATTTTGTAAAATAATGATAGATGATTATTCTAATATAACAATATAACTTCAAAAATCTTAATTTAAAAAAAAAAAAATTGTATAATTTCAAATGAATGAAATGCATAGAAATTGTTGTTTCTGAATACTAATTAAAGTTGGTTCATATTCAATATAAGCTGTGAGATTTAATTTTAAATTGTAAGGGTTGATTTGGTGTTGAATTTCATTTACTATTTACCAAACAAAAATTTTAATAAAATTTAAACTATATTAAAAATATTAATTTAAAAACTAAAAATTATTAAACTCAAAAGCCACAAAAAAATTACTGAAAAATCGTGGGTATGTATTTCTGAAACAATGTTAACTATTATCAACGCTAAACACATACATACACAAACATTTCTTAATCAATATAACTTATTTCCAATTTGGTAATTTGTCTCAGTGGGATGAATAATTATTGATCTCTTTAATGATTCTTGAGTTCATTAAAAATTCGTCGAGGAAAAACAGGCCAAGGTCTTTCGAACAGATCGTGAAGGAATTCTTATCTAATAATTTTTCGCATATACATAAATAACGGCTTGCCCTATCTGATTAAGGGTTCTCACTATTACATATATTATTTGTATGCAATAATATGGTCAACAAAATCATTAAAACTTTGATAAAATTAAAATTGTATATTCAGACAATTCAATAAAATTTACTGTTAACTTAGACGTAAAATGATAGAGAATTAATTAAGTGAACACGAAGGGGTAACTTTGCCAAGCTTTGAAATTGGTATTTATCAGTCTACCGAATAAGTATGAAAGGAATCCTAGGAATCTAAAACGATTGCTTTGGAATGTTCATCATATTATTCCATAATATCCTTGTAGCCCAATAACCTGGACACCGAGTGATATTATCTGATGTTAGTGCTATTGATTCTATTTACTTGTACGACTTACTAATGATTTTTTTTGTCTTCGTAAAATGACCTGTATATTTTAGGTAATTATTAGCCTATTATAATTTTATTAACACTGAAGCACTCTAAAGTAATTTTTAATTTGATAACGTTTTTATGATTTTAAACATTTTACCTTTAATTAGAGTGTAATACAAGTTGAAAATAATAGAGTTTTAACCCAAACTGTTCAGTTCACAATTCTGTACCTCTTAATGCACAACGGCTAAATTTTAAGCGATTTATGTATTTGTTGGTTTTTAACTATAAATAAACTGTAAAATAATATTTCTTTAAAGTACGTACTATTTTTATCATTGATTATACATTATAATCAGTTTTATAATTAATTAATTCTATAATTTTACCAATTTGTATATTTCTAGTGGAAACCATTAAACCTAAGTGTGTGTACCAAGAAGAACGTTGGACACGAGCTATGATTACCATTGACAATCTACCAGAAAATTTTATTCATTTACAGGTAAATAACCATTCCAAAATTCGTAATATGCTCGGATTTGCTGTTAAAAACCTGAAGGAAGCTGATCATTTAGTATGCAGTGCTAGTGGTCCATCAGTGAATAAAGCTATAACATGTGCTGAAATATTAAAACGTCAAATGCCTGAATTAAGACAAATTACAGGGATAGGATATAGAAAGTAAGTGATTTATGAATGATCTATTGACAAGAATAGTAAAGTGACACAACTAGATAATTTAAATTTTTCTGATTTTACTTAAACATGAACAAAAATGTAAAATATTACGTTAGGACAGTTAAATTAATTAAACTTTTGTAGTTTCTGTTTGATCAATTTTCGAAAAATTAATTGGTAATTAAATAATAAAAAATGTTCCGTTTTATTTTGCTCGTCTTATAAAATTGATTATTTTTAAATTATATATTTATATTTGAATGGAAAAAGTTGTTGTGTAGATGAAAAATGGCTAATTATATAGTCATATATACACCTTTTCCACAGCATATATTTTAAAATCATCATAACATTTGAAATTTTGGACCAAATGTTTTTTTGGTTGTTATGTATCTATTTAAGAAAAACTGTAGCACATTGAGGTCGCGGCACAGTATGAGCGTGACATGTTGAGACTAGTATAGATGATATCTAACAGTGATTAAAATTACTATCATAAGAAACACTTCGATGCGAATCTGTAGATAGTGTTTAATTTTAAGAAATTGGTGAATTATTCAAAAGCGAAATTCTAAATCAAAAATAAATAGGAAAAATTGCAAAAAATTCATTGCCACAGTTTTTTAAATTTTTTTTTCTGTATTATAAATAAATACTTATTTGTGATATTTTTGTATGCAAAATAAAATTTTGTAGGAAATTTATTTTTGAAATAAAAAAAAGTAAAATTTATGGCTTCTAATTATACATGTTTAAAATTAAATAAGTTTAGTATTTCAAAAATAACTTTCAGTGTCAGGATGATAAAGGAAGAAATTGTACTAGGTGAAGTTTCTAAAACTATAACAACCCGTAGATTACCATCCATACACATTTTGCTATCAAAAAATCATCTCAAACCAGATTTACCAGGGTAAGCATATAAAATTTATCAATCATATTTTTTCTTTATTGGATATTGTAAGTATTAATACAAAAATTATAAATTTAATTTATAAAATACTTAATAGTTAAAACATAAATGCTTGTGATTAATCTTCTAGAACTCATATTATTAATAATTATATTAGGTATCAAGGAGCTGATAAATTAGCAGATCATGTTAATAGGCCTGTGCCCCGTAAAACATATGATAAAGACGAATATCGTGGCACAAAAGAGAGCAAAATTAAGGCTCCTTAATTGATGTTGATCCATCTTCTTCAGTTCGAACACCTTGCATTATTGCTTCAGGCATGGGTACAATCAAATTTTCTTTTGCCATTAGGCTATACTTGATGACAAACTTAGTAAACCGTTTGCATAAGTATGTTTCATTCTGTAACATTAAATAGTAATAATGTATGTATAATTGTTATTAGATACATAGTTATAAGTATGAGTAATCAATACAATATGTATAAACAATTTTCTTTCTAATTTTATCTTTTTTGTTTACCTCAAATTTGTTGTAAATATTTTGATGATGGTAGTATGCATGTGAAAATATTCTGTATACACGACGGCACACAGATCCTAGTTTTGCTACTGATGATTCTTTTATATTCACTCTACATTAAAACAATAATATTAAATTTTAATTAAAATATAATTGTTATTTTAAAACATGTTTATTATTCAAGATATGATATATAAAATAAAAATTCATGATTAATTAGTTTATTATTTATATTCAATGTGTTCTCTCAACTTAATTCTTATACTTGAGAAAATGTTTTAAAGTACCCATTTTTATTTTTTTAAGTACTATTAGTACTCAATTTACATATTTATGACAGAAAATAAAAATTTACATTTAACAATTTAATTTCTTATTTTGGGATTTATTCTGTAATTTAAGATACATAAAAAAACTATTTATATTAATTTTACTATAAAAATGTTTTTAATAAAACAACATAACAATTTTATCAAGTTTGACTTAACCTGCTAGGAAAATATTTGTTGCTGTTTAACAAACAAGCAGCTCCATCAAGAGTATGTCGTGTATAATCAATTGCTGGACATTCTTTAGGTGTTTTATGAGCGGCACACAAAAAAATCCATTGTTCTGTAGATGTCATTTGACTACATGTATCAGGCAGACATTCACTTTGCAACTCAACTGCAAGCCCATTAAGTTCCATACAAAATTGACTACAAAGCAAATGAAACATATAAAATTAATATTATAGATAAATACTTGTTAAAATACTGGTTGTAAGTTTTCTTATTCTCTCTAGCATAAACAATAGCTTTTAAGAAAGGAAATTAAACATAAAATAATATTAGTTAATAAAAGTACTATTATTTTACCGTAAATGTTCATATTTCCATACACCTTCTTCTTGAGAATCAGGAGAAGTTAAAATCAAATCAATATTACTTGGATCTTTGCGGATTTGCTGTTGTATAAATTCTTGAACAGCTAAAGTACTTTCCATTTCTTCAAAAGGTTCATCTGGCCATTTTCGAAAAAACTTAGGAAAAATAACACATTTAAAAATAATAACTAATATTACTATGAAAAGTGTAATAATTATCTTACTTTTGCTTTAGTACCAGGTTTGTTGCGTTTTAATAATTTTTTTATGGGTTCTGCCATCTTCATGTTTTTATTTTAAATATATTTTATTTTCATGAAGTCCTCTTTTTACAATTTGAAGTTGAAGTAAAACGGTGATTTTTAAAATAATATTAAAAATTATATACTAATATGAAATAATTTTCTTTATTTTTATCACTTGTTTAAAAGAACATTTTTTTTTCAACTATCATTTTATGCTAAAAATTGAAATCAATATATATTATCACTCAAAGTTTGATTACATTATTTTGTTATATTAACCAAAATACCATAATCATACCTCAGACTATATGAAAAGGTAAAATCTATTATGTGCACAGATATGGAAAAACAAAAATTAATTGGTGATTATAACTATATCAGGTTAATAATTTTAAAGGTTATTCATAATAAACATTTAATATTTATGATCAACGATATTGAAATAAATTTAATCCATTTTCAGCGTTGTCAAACGTACCATTATTATGGTATTCATACCCATTGTACCGTATACCATTATAATTGTTTCGCATAACATAGGTGTGTTATCACTCCACATTATAAGATTTTAAGGGAACTACATAACTCATGTAATATTGTTAACACTTTTTTTTAGAAAGACCTTTTTATTATTATATAAAAACAAAATGAGTAATAAAAAAAAAAAAATTTTAAATTAATTTTAAGTATTATAATTTATTTTCTATTGTATTAAAAAAGGTTTTTGAAGAAATTAAAAATGATATATATTCTTTTATTTGAAAATCTAATAATAATCTATCTAGTAATAATCTAAAATTCTTTAAATGCCTAAGGAAGAGGAAGTTCATGAGGTTTCAACCACATGGAAACTTATATATCCGTCTGTTATACTATTTACAATTGTCAAATTGTGTGTTTTAACACCTACAGTTGGTAAAAAAAATCAAATATCATAGTATTCACTGTATCTCGAAATTTTTATTTCATAGTAAAGTATATTATATGAGCTTCAATTTAAGATTGAATAAAAGTGTCAATATTTCCGAAAATTTTTCAAAAATTGAGTTGAAAAAGTTTAACTTGTGTGTAATAATACTTATTTTGAATCCCCCTTGTTGTTAGGTCAAAAATCAGATTTTCAAAAAATGTATATCAAATGAAAAAAGTAAACATAAAATATTTATGAAAAAATGATTGTATTGATTCATACATTTTTCAAAAAGTTATAGTAATTTAAAGTTGAAAAAATAAAAAATATAAAATCGTAAATTTTAACAATAAAATTGAATGTTTTTTATCTACGGCAACCATTTTCACATAGAAGATAAGTCGTCGGGACAAATTTTTTTTTTTGAACTTATCGTACATTAGCTTTATTCCAGCATATGTTTGAAGCTTGGAGTATTTCCGGAACATTTTTAAAAGTTAAGTCGAAAAATAAAAATTTTTGTGCAGAAGTTGCTATTTTGAATCCCCCCGATGAGCAAATAAATGGTCATATTTTCAACAAATTTATATCAAGCGAAAAAAAAATATCTATGGTTTCAATATAAAAAAGAATTACTTTGATTTGTTCATTTTTCAATAAATTATGGTAATTTTCAAAAAAATTTCGAAATTTACCGATTTTAAAAATCGTAATTTTTTGGGGGGATTTTCACTATTTACGGAGAACGAGGGCAAAATTTTCAATTATTGAGGATAATGTCTTCAACTAGATACGATTTGTGATCTTTTTCGTATTGTTAAGAAAAATCGGTCTAGTTAGACGTCAGAAAACAAATGATAGTCACAAAAAAATATCTTCTCAGCTTTGCATCACTAAAAAGTTATAAGTGATGATGTTAAAAAATAATAACTGATAAATCAACAAATATAAAAAATTAAAGAAATGAAAACAATTTTTGGTCAATGTTGTATGTATTTTGCGAGTATTTGAGTGATTTTTCATAAACGGATTAGAGATTATTTTAGAAACCTGATACACGGTTATAATCTAGTGTGACATAACAATGACTACAATGCTGAACTGTTTTCGAGACAGTTTTTTAGATTTTTTTTCTGTACTATAAATAAATACTAAATAAAAAATAATAATAATAAACACAGCATGGTAAAATTAATAACTTCTCAGCTTTGCATCGTAGATAAAAATATTTTTTGTTTAATTCGGGGACCGTTTATACAAAAGGAATTTCATTTTTAGTCAAATCTAAAAAATTAGATGTACCATAATATTGTGCAAAATACCATAATTTTTTAGGTTGGTGTCATACTATCAATTTTAACTAGTGACAACGCTGTCTCTGTTTAGTATATTTAGCGTTAGTATCTTCTAAATTAATCGTTTTTTTAAAATTGAAAAAGTAAACAACCAATTAAGTTTTTGTGTGTTAAATGAATGATTTATAAAAAAAAAAAATTATTATAAATTTTTATTGTATTTTATTAAAATATAAACATTGTATTATGGCCGAAAATATTAAAATTGATACAGTTTCTAAGGAAGTTGAAACGCTTGATATATATATGGTAATATTGTAATATTTTGTAATCTTTCAATTAAACAAATTTAATATAATATTTTGTTATTGATTAATAATATTTTAATTGAATAATTTTCTACTGTATGAAATGATAAATATGTATGTTGGCTTTAAAAACATAAAGTTAGTACTCTTATTAAGGATTTGGCTTAGTTCAAAAAGTATTAACAATTTAATCAAGAATTCTTATTATATAATAAAATATAGAAAAATTAGCCAATTCTGGAAAATTAATTTCACAATGAACGATTTACAAATTTTGTTTTTTAAATGAAAGAGCTAGACAACGTTATTTTAAGATAATTATTTGTGAAGATGAAAAAATTTTTTTTAGCTCAGCATAAGAGTTTAAAGACTTTATCAAAAACACTCATTGCCTCCAATGTTTTTCAATTAAAATTCTGAAATTTTACCTGTGTCCAAAAATACACAAAAAATGTCGTTGAAATCTGTTTATTTCTGACTTAGTTATGAGCCTTTTTTTTCACGCACATAATTTTAGAAGGATATTATTTTGGTTTGCGCATGTTAATTTTATGCAAGTATACAATTGTACTAATAAAATGGTATTTAAAGATACTTTAGGAGTACATCTAAATATTTTTGAGTAATATTATTAGGTAATTTATTTATTTTTGTATTATTTCATGTATCTAATAAAAATTATTGTATAGGATGTATAAAAAAATAAGTATTGTATGATAGAAAAGTTTATTTATTATTATTTTCATTAATAACTATTTTTATTTCCTTTACATTTTTTCCTTTGGAACAAATTTTTTTATTATTATAGTATGCCTTAACGTTCCAACAATATTTTTTTTATGGTAGGACATTTTCCTACAATTTTTATATTAAATGATAATGAAAATTTGTATTGATGTATTAAATTCTAATACAAATTTAAATGTATGATCTTTTATTTGAAATTCTATATTATAGTATTCATTTCAATGTATTACCTTTAACTTCATAACATTAATATTAATAAATTTTATTAATATTAATGATATCAAAGATAGTGTTAAAATTGAAATATTATTAAAATATTTTGATGTCCTTAGTCATAAAATGTAAACTTTATACTGAATTTTACTAATTTTATCAATGAAATGTCTACTATATTCCTGTTAAACTGCTTCTAGTATAATACTTTAATTGCACAACACTTATTGTGCCTGGTGTAACCGCGTACTCCTACCGAAATCATTGGCCTACTTGTAAGGACAGCCCAAAGGTCCTAATGCACCATAAGTGTGTGAGACCTCCAAAGCACCACGTCTGAGGTTGAGCCCCATCTAGCTGAAGCCTAGTAAATAATACTAAACAAAGTAAAAAAATTTTTTTTTTTTAGAATGTTGCTAAATTTGAAGAAGAACAAGCATTAAACCGAAATGAAAATAAAGACTCCCAGATTTATTTTAATACTTTACACAAATGGCAAGATATAATGAAGTGGAATCATGAATTAAAAACCAAAGATAATCCATCGGTCAGTATTTTTTCTTAAATTTTTTGTTATAGATAAAGCCTTATAAAATTAGTTATGAATAAGCTCATATTTAATTTTATTAATAGAACTCATTTTAATAAATATTTTTATAGAAAGAAAAACTTGAAGAATACAAAAATGATGCGGTTCATATATTTTTAATTTTGAAAAAATTAAATAGATTAGATAAAATTCGGTCAAAACAAAAAAAAGATTTGCTTAATAAAAAAAAACAAGAAATTGATAGTAAACATTTGCAACAAGAAAATTTATTAAATGAATTATTTTACTTGAAGAAAGAGATTTCAAAATGCTTACAGTATAAGTAATAAATATTATTTGTTTTATTTTATTTGATGAATTGCACATGGAATAATTTTTATCATTGTAGATCTATTGATAGTGAAATTGATCTTGTACCATTAGAATCATTTAGTAAAGTTGCTAATTTATCAAATGAAGACATTGTAAGTAAATAAAATTTAATTATTAAATTTAAATAGAACGCATAGTGTGATTAACTATGATCGTTTTTGCACCAATAAGCTATACTATATTATCCAACAACATTTGGATAGTACTTCAAAAATCATTATTTAATAGGTTTTAATACCATTATCATAATGTTATCTAAGATTTGTTTTCATTATTAGCTTCGATGC